ACAGTTTTCTTCTTTTCTAGGTCCCATAGTTTGTAGCCAAACTCCTCATCACCATATCCAACAAAAATGCATGGAATGGCTTTATCATCCAGCTTTGATCTATGTTCCTTTGGCACGTGCATAAATGCTTTGCACCCGAACACTCTCAAGTGAGAGTATCCAACGTCCTTTTCCGTCCAAGCTTTCTCCGGGATTTGAAAATTCAAAGGAACTGAAGGCAACCGGTTGATCAGATACACTGCTGTGTTGACTGCCTCACCCCAAAATGGCTTAGATACAGTTGCCATTTTTAGCATGCATCGAACTTTCTCCACAATGGTACGGTTCATCCTTTCTGCAACACCGTTGTGTTGTGGTGTGCCAGGAACTGTCTTCTCATGCCTCATGCCATGCTTGGAACAGTAGTCTCTGAATTCTTTGGAGGTGTACTCCCCTCCATTATCTGTACGGAGACATTTCAACTTCAACCTTGTCTCCCTTTCCACCATAGCAGGGTAATGCTGGAAATACTTGAAAACTTGGCTTTTATTCTGCAACAAGTATACCCAAGTCTTCCGAGTTGCATCATCAATAAAGGTAACAAAATATTTATTACCACCAAACGACTCTACCTCCAAGGGACCACAAACGTCAGAGTAGACCAAGTCTAGCTTGTTCTCCTTCCGAGTCAAATTCTTCTGAAAAGAAACTTGGTGTTGCTTTCCAAATAGGCAAACATCACAAGGATTCACATATTCACCTTTGGCCATGGGAATAAGGGACTGCTTAGCCAAAAGTTGCAATCCTTTCTCACTCATGTGAGCTAATCTATTATGCCATAAATTTGGAGAAGCCTCATCTTCAACTGTGTTCAATTGACCTCCACACATTTTCATGTGTGTCTTGTATAATGAGCAACATGCTCTCCCTTTTGCCACCACCATTGATCCTTTGGTGAGTTTCTAGTTGCCATTCCCGAAGTAGTGTGCGTATCCTTCTTCATCCAGTGCTTTTGCAGACAATAGGTTCATACGCATATCAGGAACATGTCACACATTTTTTAGTGTCAATGTGCACCCAACATTTGTCTGGACACAGATATCACCAACTCCCATAATATGAGAAACACTCTTGTTTCCCATTTTTATGGTGCCAAAGTCTCCTGCTTTGTATGTTGAAAAACATTCCCTTTTGGGAACACAATGATAAGAGGCACCAGAATCAATTATCCACTCGGCATCTGAGTTTTCTACATGGCAGCACTCCCATCGATCACATAGTAGAGTCACGTCACCGCCACTGGTAGATGCTACAGCGGTTGTATTGCTATCTTCAACCTTTTTCTTGTCTTTTCCTTTCAACAAGTAGCAATTCCTTTTCATGTGGCCTAACTGGCCACAATGATAGCATTTCACTCTACTTTTGGACTTTGATATGAATCTGCCTCCTCGTCCTCTGAGTTCTCTGGTTTTACTCCTGCCTCTATTCTCCATGACAAGAGCTTGAGTATCTGGTTGCGAGAAGACGCCAAGTGCCCGCATCCTTTTTTCCTCTTCAAAGATCCTGTTTTTGACAATTTCCAGTGTGACTTGACCACCAGGAGATGAGTTGATTGTTGTTGATCTAAAACTCTCCCATGATTCAGGCAAGGTGTTGAGAAGAATCAGACCATTCACTTCATCATCAAAGTTTATGCCCAAATTAGCTAACTCCTTGATGATGCCAAGGAAATCATTAACATGGTCTGCTGTGGGAGTGCCATCTTTGTACCTTGAGTACATTAATTTCTTTATATGGCACAATTTGTTCTGCCCAGTCTTCGCCCGGAAAAGCTTATCTAACTTTGTCCATAGTGTGCGTGCATCAGTTTCATCATTGATATGATTCAGCACACTATCATCAATCCATTGCCGGATAAATCCACACACTCGCCTATGGAGTAGCCTCCATTCTTCATCCTTCATGCTGTTTGGCTTTTGCTCTGAAAAGACAAGCTCATGAAATTCCTTCACATAAAGAAGGTCTTCCATTTTCCCCTTCCACAACTGATAGTTTGAACTATTCAGCGTGATCATTTTGCTCTGGTTCACCTCCATTGTTTACGTGAATATTAGTAGCGCCTAGCTCTGATACCAGTTGTTGGAAAAATGGCGCAACGGAATAAATTAATTCCTATTATCAAAACACGTGAACAATAACAAAGAACGGTGAAATAGGCGACTTAACCGACCAATATTAACGGTTAGTGAAAAAGGCGACTTAGCCGACCAAGCAAAATAAAATGGGCGGTTCAACCTGCCACTTAAGAAATATAAATAAAATGGGCGGTTCAACCAGCCACTTAAGCGGGAAAATAAACAAGCAAAATAACACAAAATTTTACGTGGAAAAACCCCCAAAAAACTATTGAGGGAAAAAACCACAGGACAAATTCCGAAGGGTATTTCACTATATGATAAAATTGTACAGAATATACACTCAAGTATTTTTCTCTCTCTTGGTGTTTCCCACTCCCCCAGGATATTATCACAATCCTGATAAACTCACAATTTTTATCACTCAATGTACTCTCTCTATGGAGCACACTCACACCTAAGCTTAATGCCTAGCTCTCACCCTTTTTTTCTTTTCCTCGGAGCCCTCTTTTTTTGCTCACTTTGGTGCTGCACTCTTTGCTTCTTTTTTTGCTTGCTTTTTGCCTTGCCATTGCATGGGTATTTATAGGGTAAAAA